AATCCCAGAGGGACACATCCTGCTCACATAATTTCTAGCGAGAGAGGCGCAGGTTGGCAAGAGCCAAGGCTTGGGGACCCCAGTGTGTGCGTTGGGGTAAATGCTGGAGTCGAACCAGTTAGAACCGCCAGAGAGAGAGAGATTGAAAGATGTCATAACTATACAGTGAGCAAAATATGTCAAGTTATTAACAGACAGAAGTAGAGACAAAGACAGAGAGAGGCAGACATTGAATGTTGCATTATATATATGTTTCTCCATAAAATAGCCAGTGAATGGTTATAAGGAGTGAGTTCGCCCTCTGGTGGCTATAACATGCCAATAACACCCTCAATCAGCCCTAAATTGATACAAAAACTTAATTAGCTGTAAAAATTTTGTTAAATGTAATTTCCTTGGTACGCACGATGGCTTCACAGTTGACCTGCTTGACTTTAAATTGTTAATCAATTTGCTTCAATCAATTGCGTTTTCTCTTACAAATCTGAAAGTGTTAGCAGCACTCTAGCCTCTGAGTCACAAGGTTGTTGCTCAAACCCCATGTCAGAATGTTATAATAATAATCCTTGCATTTGATATATAGTGCCTTATCATGTCTTCGAGACGTCTCAAAGTGCTTTTTCAGAACATACTGTAAAGTGAATTGACTGTATATTTTTGTGTAATCCTTGCATTTGAAATAGTGCCTTATCACATCATTGAGACATCTCAAAGCTCTTCAAAGAATATATTGTAAAATGAATTGACTGTGTATTTTGTGGGCGAAACAAGGCAGCCAATTGCGCACAGCAGTGTCCCATAAACAGTTGTGGATTGAGTAACCAAAGATTTTTTTGGGTGGGATAATTACCAGCAGAAAGTGATCCCCCAACCATCTAACAATCGGGTTCCTACTAGGTAAACAGAGGTTTGTGGAGTTAGGAAATTTGCTAAGGTTACGTCCTGCCTGGGAATCAAACCTGGATCTTCTCTCCTATGAGGTGAGCATGCTAACCACTACAGGACTCCTCAGCTCACATAGTTTGGGCTGACAGTGGCGGAGCAAGACACCTAGCCTGAAGACTTTCCTCTTCAACCGATCTGAAAATGGGGTAGGAGGGGGCACGGTGGAGGGATTGAGGGAGAGAATTCCAGAATGTTCCGAATTTTAGGGTTTAGTGGCTGAAATTGTGGCCACCGATGGAGGGGAGGGGACGAGGGATGTGCAGGAGGCCAGAGTCAGTCGAGCGGAGGCAGCGGGTAGTGAATTGGGAGCAAAGCAGGTCAGAGAGGTAGGTAGGTGCCAGGGCATGAAGGGATCTTTAGGCGAATGTGAGGATCTTGAAATCGATCCATTCGGTGATAGGGAGCCAGTGGGGCATGGCAAGAACTGGGGTGTTGGGGTCCGGAGTTTAGTGTGGGTGAGTGTGTGGGTGGCAGATCTCTGGATTAGCTGAATTTTGTGTATGGTGGGGAGACCAGCGAGGAGGGCATTGGAGTAGTTGAGATGGGAGGTGACAAAAGCATTGATGAGAGTTTCGGCTGTGTTTGCATGTAAACATCCATTTACATAGCACCTTTCATACTGTGCAAAAGGCAATCAGTCATCTTGGTGAAATAGTGAAGGAATCACTTCACTCCACTAGATGGTGATGTTTGATCACATTCACAAGGTGTGAAGTGTCTGTAAACTTGGTAATGTGTAGTAGAATTTACAAGCATTTCTTGTGAAAATCATGAGTTTTCTCAAAGTGCTTCACAGAATACACTGCAAAGTGAATTGACTGTATATTTTATGGGCAAAATGTAGCAGCCATTGTACAGCTCAGTTATGTTGCATGCGAAATTCTCTCCTGACTCTTCTTTTCTTTGTAAGACTGATGTGGGCTATGAGTCTCTAATCAGGTGAGATCCAGTCATAGGAAATGTGTAAACTACAGATCATCCAGACCTTGTCCAGCTCTTGTCCTCTCCCGCACCAGGCTCTGTGACCCCATCAACGCCATCCTCACCCGGCTCCACTGGTTCCCCATCCCTCAGAGGATCATGTTCAAAATTCTCGTCCTCGTCATCAAGGCCCTCCATGGTCTTGCCCCCTCTTATCTCTCTGACCTGCTAACCCTGTCTGCTCGCTCCGGCCTGCTCCATGACCCCCGCCTGGCCCACACCAGCATCAGCAGTTGGGCCTTCAGCCTCTGCCTCCATCCTCTGGAACTCCATCCCACATTCCCTTCACCTCACTCCCTCCTTTGCATCCTTCAAGGCACATCTCAAGACCCTCCTCTTTGACCGTACCTTCAGCAACATTCCTACCCTCTCTTAACTCATCCTCCCCCCCCCCACCCCCCGCTCAGGTCCTAATCCCTGACTGTTCAGCGCCTTAGGATGTTCTCCCTCCCAACGTGAAAGGCGCTTTACAAATGTAATTTAGTATTGTATTGCAAATGGCTATATATAGAATTATACAGCACAGAAGGAGGCCATTCAGCCCATCATGTCCGTAGCCGCTCTTTGAAAAGAGCTATCCAATTGAATCCCACTTCCCCGCTCTCCCCCCCCATAACTCTGCAAATTTATCCTCCCCAAATAATTATCTACTTCTCTCTCAAATCTGCTTTCACCATCCTTTCAGGCAATGCATTCCAGATCCAAACAACTCAATGTGTAAAAAAATTCTCACCTCTCCTCTGTTTCTTTTAACAGCTTTATCTACCTGTCCTGCCACCTTCAAAGATTTACTGATATGAACCTCCAGGTCTCTCTGTTCCTTCACCCTCTTTAAGATTGTACCATCAGCTTATATTCCCTCTCCTCATACTATCCTCCTCACTGTTTACTACTTCTCCTAGCTTAGTATTATCTGCAAACTTGGAAATTGTACTCTCTATACCCAAGTCCAGGTCATTTATATAGATCAAAAACAGCAGTGGTCCCAATATCGACCTCTGGGGGACACCACTGCACACTTCCCTCCAGTCAGAAAAACTACCGTTCACCACTACTCCCTGCTTTCTGTCTCATAGCCAGTTCTGTATCTATGCTGCCACTGTCCCTTTAATACCGTGGGCTTCTATTTTGCTTACAAGTCTCTTATGTGGCACTTTATCAAACGCCTTTTGAAAATCCATATAAACAAAATCAACTGCACTACCTTCACCCACCCTCTCCGTTACTTCCATCAAAAAACTCTTATCAGGTTAGACACGATTTGCCTTTAACAAATCCATGTTGGCTGTCTTTATTAACTCTTGTTTTTCTAAGTAAAAATGTATTTTGTCCCGGTTTATAGTCTAGAAGTTTCCCCACTACTGATGTTAGGCTGATTGACCTGTAGTTCCTGGGTTTATCCCTCTGTCCCTTTTTGTACAGGGGAGTAGCATTTCCAACCCTCCAGTCCTCTGGCACCACCCCGGTGTCCAAGGAGGGTTGAAAGGTTGTGGTCAGAGCTTCCGTTATTTCCACCCTCAGTAACCGAGGATGCATTGCGTCCGGACCGGGTGACTTATCTACCTTGAACACTGACAACCTTTTTAGAACCTCCTCTGTTTATTCTTATCTTATCTAATTTCTCTACCCTCTCCTCCGATACTGTGGCATTGGCTGCATCCTCTTCTTTTGTGAAGACAGATGCAAAGACTCATTCAGTACGTCAGCCATGCCCTCTGCCTCCACAAGAAGATTTCCTCTTTGATCCCTAATTGGACTCACCCTACCTTTGACTAACCTTTTATTCTTGATATGCTTATAAAATACCTTAAGGTTCCCTTTTATGTTACCCGTTAATCTTTTTTCATACAATCTCTTTGCCCCTCTTATTTCCTTTCTCAGTTCTCTCCTGTACTTTCTATATTCTATTTGATCATCTTCTGTGTTTTGGACCTGACATTTATCATAAGCCTCCTTTTTCTGTTTTATTTTTTTCCTTATTCATCCAGGGAGGTTTGGATGCCCTACCTTTCCCCTTTGTGGGAATGTAATTGTTCTGTCCCTGAACTATCTCCTCCTTGCTCGTTAGTTGTTTTACCTGCCGGGAGGCGAGGGTGAGGCGACTGTAAGCACTTTCAAAGAGGAAGGTCTTGATGCGTATTATGAAGATGGGAAGGATGGGACAAGGCAGAGGAATTGAAGGAGAGAGTTCCAGAGGTTCCGGCCATAGTGGCTGAAAGCATATTCAGCGATTCATCACATTTTCCTTTGCGAGAGGCAGTGTGAAAATGCAAGTTGCTGAAATTCATTTGCGAGGCTAAAATAATTTTTCAACCTCTGTCTGAACCTAACCCCACCTGGTTTGTGTTCTTGGCAAAGGCTCTGATCTCCCCTCTCCTGGCTGCTTGGCAGATGTCCACAGTACAGTGTACTGCAGAGCTGGGAATGGTTTGGCTATGACAGGTCATATCTTACGAGGGATAAAACCGCTTTTAAAGCCTCCTGCCAGCCTGGTTCAGCTGGTACCACTGGTACCACTCACCTCCAAACACTGAGCTAGGCTGACCCTCCCACTCAGAAGTGAGGGAGAGCTGCTTTGTCAGAGGTTATGTTACAAAATACTGTATAGCACTATAAAAATTAAAGTTCTTCTGTGAATTAGGCTCAAACATGAAAAGATAATAATCCTGCATTTGATATAGCCGTTATCACGTCATTGTGTTGTGAACTGGTTGTATATTGTGGGCGATACGCGACAGCCAATTGCGCACCGCAGTGTCCCACAAACAGTGTCCCACAAACTGTGGGAATTTCCCCCCAAATTATTGTGACCAAATTATTATTATTTTTAATGGATAATTACCCACGGAAAGCGACCTGCCAATTGACTAACAACTGGGTTCCTACTCACTACTAGGAGTGTTGAGTAAGGAAACTTGCCTAAGGTTTCACCCCACCCAGGAATCGAACCTGGGTCCTCTCGCTTGCGAGGCGAGTGTTCTAACTGTTATGCTAAAGGACTCCACATCAGCATTGGGAGAGCACACGAGAAAGACACAGACACTCAGAAAGAGGGGGAGAAAGAAACCCACCTATATATATATATATTATATATATTTCATTTTCACCAGCTCCACGATGAGCACAACACTTATGAACACCCCCCCCCACCCACCACCCAATTTATTCAATGACTGTTCACATCATATACAAAGCAACAAAATAAAATCCCCAAATCAGATTGTTTTCCTAATTATAAAATTAACAAATTATTTAAAAAAAACACATAAGGTCGCGAAGCAACAGTCACAAAACCGCAAAAAAGAAATAATAAAAAAGTTGGGGGTTGATTTTCACGAGCGCTGTTATAGTAGTTATAGTAATTACAGAATACTGTACACTATATTAGAACCATCACCAGCAGAGAGGACGCAGGTCAGTCACAGGAAAGGTTCAGCCTGGGACGGGGCCTTGTGAATTCAGGCGAACTTTAGTGCAAAAGGAAAATGTGCAGAAAGTAGGGATTTTGTCCAAAATTAAAATACAGATTCTAACCAATTGTTGTTGTGTACATAGATTTTTTTTAAAAAAAGCACAGTAAATAGTAATGTGTTGAAGACACTATACGGGCACAAGACTAGAGCACTGCGTACACCTGCCCCGGGCACAGACCCCAACCCGGCAGTTTATGGTTGTGCGGGGGAGGGGGGAGAAATCGAAGGTCGGACAAGATGGGGAGGGGGGAAGAATTACGAGCACAGCTCTGTCTGCTGCAGTAAGCATGTTGCAGGCTGGTCAATGAAGCAAGACACTGGGCCCTGCAGGCAGAGGACAGTCCATTCTCACAACCAACCCCACAAAAAATATTGTCTTTCGCTCCTCTCCACAAGCCAACATCCCACTCATCGAACTCAGCTCCGCTCCACTGCTGATCACCTTCCCCGCTTCTCCTTCACACTGTACTGAAGAACCATCGGTGTAGGCTGCATGCAGAAGAAAAAATATTAAATAAAACTTTTTGTTGGATCAACCCATCTTCAAATTAGATTTATTTTAGAAAATACAATATTTTGGGACACAGTGTATGAGTTAAAGATGAGGGGCAATATGATAGTGTTTTTAAGATTCTGAAGGGACTAGATAATGTAGATCATGGTGAGCTGTTTCCAGAACAGTAGAACCAGAGGACACGGTCTGCGATTGAAGGGGGGTAAATTCAAAACAAATCTGCGGAAACACTACACTACTTCAGTGAGGAGTAGTAAATGTATGGAACAGGCTGCCTAGGGAAACGGTGGAAGAAGAAAATGTAATTCATTCAAAAACAAATGAGATAAGATTTATTTAAAAAAATATTTTGGGATACAGTATATGAGTTGGCAGCTCTTCCAAATCTGCACCAGAAGGTTGTTTAAGCCACACACCAGCCGTGTCCTCACAGTCCAGCCTATCTACCTGTGCCTTAATTTTAAGGAGGGGGAAAGGGAGTGCTGCATTGCCCAAAGCGTCATCCTTCGGATAACACGTTAAAACTGAGCTGCGGTCTGCCTGTTCAGGTGGACATGAAGGATCTGTTAAAGGGAGTCCCACAGTGTAGTGATTAGTGTAGTCGTAAGCGAGAGGATCAAGGTTCAACTCCTGGGCGGGACGAAACCTTAGGCAAGTTTCCTCACTCCACACGTCTTTGTTTACCTAGCAGGAAGTAGGGACCCGGTTATTAGTTGACTGGCAGATTGCTTTCCCGGGGTAATTGTTTCTGTCATTGTGGTTAGCAAATGGTCTGATTTTCTCAGATATTCCTTTATTGACACGAGAGTACAATGCTTGCTACCCAGGTGTTCACGTTGTGTGAAGGGCCATCTTCGGTTACAAAGGGCAACCATCATTATTTCATTAAGGATCCTGCAACGCTATTGGGAAAGAGAAGGGAATTTCTCTCTCCTAGCGTCCAGTTTGTCAATCCTCTGGATAAAATCACTGAATCACCCTATGGCTGTTTTTGGCAGCTTGGTGTGTACAAAGACTTAAAAAGTATAGAAAAGTGAAATATAGAGAAAGCAATCTAGAGGATTAAGAGGCTTGCATAGAGTATAAACACTGCCATCTGTTTATAATCTTTGCATTTGATAAATAGCACCTTACAAGACACCACATCATGCACATGAAGGGCACAACATGAATGTAAGTTATAATGTCAGTGAGAAGTTTCAAAGCGCTTCATAGGATCTATTGTATCGTGACTATTATGTGAGTAATGCAGCAGCCAATTTGCGCTCAGCAATGATCCACATCAGCCATGAATTGCATGACCCATTTTATCTGAGGATTGATGAAGAGAAACTTCCTTTTCAAATAGAGCTGCGGGATCTTTAATATCCACCTGAACAGGGCACAGACGGGAGCTCGGTTTAACATTACATCCGAAAGATGGCACCTCCAACAATGTAGTGCTCCCCCACCTACCACAGTACTGCACTGGAGCGTCAGCCTGGACTATGAGCTGAAAGTCCAAATGCAGTTGTGCTGAATGGGTCAACAACAACAATATCAACTTGCATTTATATAGCGCCCCTCATGCAGGGCAACGTCTCAGAGCACTTGATAGTGGCGGTACCTGAGCCATGGGGTGGGGGAAGCTGACCATACAAGGAAGGTCTTCAGGAGTGATGTGAAGATGGGGGCAAGACATAGGGATTAAGGAAGAGAGTTCCAGAGTTTCGGGGCGTAGTGGCTGAAAATGCGGCTGCTTATGGTGGAAATCTGAGCCTGTTGAGTGGAGGCAACGGTAGTGGGCTGGGGAGTATACTGATCAGAGATGTAGGGAGGTGCCATGGCTTGAAGGGATTTGAAGAGGAGTGTGAGGATCTTGTGAGACTGGTTTGCGTGCTGCACAGTCAGTGTAACTGGATGTAATTACTGAGGGACGCTGTGGCATGACTGTACACTATAAAAATGCAAAGTTCATTCATCCGACAGACGGGCAGTAGGGGTTTGGTGCTGACAGCGCGCTCCGTGGGAACGCCAGGCAGACACCGGCGATGCGAAAACAAGAAATCCTTTCTGCCACTATCCATCAGCGGCATGTACAGCTCTCTCTAACACATCCTGTAACCAGATAATTCAATAACTGAGCTTCACGCTCCAAGGTTTGGTTTAGGACCCAGCCAAAATCCACAAAAAATCACTAAATGCACTTTAACACCAAGAGCTTTCAGTGCGTGACAAGTCTATTTTTTATAAAAGAAAAATAGAATGACGGGCACTTAGACATCCCACTTGCAGTCAGGCAGAGCTGCTGAATTGCTCCCCCCACCCCCAGTGGCAGCTCACGTGTTACTAACTAGCCAGGTTTCAACAGCAACTCATCATAATAATAATTGCATTTAACATGGCATCTTATCACATCTTTGAGACGTCTCAAAGCACTTCACAGAATATATTGTACAGTGTATATTTTGTGGGCAAAACGCAGCAGCCAAACTGTCGTGGATTGAGTGACCAAATTTTTTTTTTTTTTTTTAGAAAGGGATTATAACTTCCCTAACATTTCGCCCCGCCCAGGAATCCAACCCGGGTCCTCTCGCTTGATAGGCGAGTGCTCTAACCAATATGCTACAGGTCTCCCAAGACGCTGGACATCTATGGTTTGCACCTGAGATGGGGGTTGGAATCAAGAAGGTTGAAGGCTAGAGGGTGTAGGGGTGGGAGTATGGCTGGGTTTTTGATCCCAGGACGTGCTCAAGAGCTGTGGTGCTCTGGACAGTAATCACCTAAGACTGTGAGCTAGGTGCCAGTCTGGCTCAGTCATTTGCACTCTCATTCAGAAGGTTGTCAGTTCACCTCCTATACAGGCCGGAGTGGTTCAACTGGCGGCCCATGGGCAGCATCCGTCCCATGAACCAGTTCCAGCTTCACTGTCTGATGAGCAAATACAGGAGCCACCGGGCCCTGAGCCAATCAGGAGATGGTCACCGTGGGCTCAGGCTCCATCCAGCAATGAGACTGACCCATCAGGATAAAATATTGCTCATATGGCCTGCAGACAATTCTCATATCTGCCCCCTCGCCATTCTCTCCCTCTCTCTGTGCTCACTGATGGGGTTGGAGACCAAGCCGCGGGCAGAAGCACTCACCTTGTCGAACCAGCGGGACAACCACAGCTGCTTCATAGTCATGTGTTCTGGCAACAGCTCATTGTCGAACATTATCTGTAGCTGGTGACAGAGAGAGAGAGAGAGAGAGAGAGAGGAGCTGTGTTAATCATAATAATCATACTTGAATTTGATATAACACATTATCGCATTGTTGAGACGTCGCAAAGCACTTCACAGTATATACTGTAAAAAGGATTGACTGTTTATTTTGTGGATGATACGCAGCTGCCAATTATTGCACACAGCACAGTCCCATAAAGTCATGGATTGAGTGACCAAATTATTATTATTATTTTTTTTGGACGGATTATTACCCCCGGAAAGCGATCCACTAATCGACTATGAACTGGGTTCCTGCTTACTGCTTGGCAATCAGAGGCGTGTGGAGTAAGGAAATTGCCTAAGGTTTCGCCCTGCCCGGGAATCAACCCTGAGTCCTTTCGCTTGTGAGACGAGTGCTCTAATCACTACCCTGTAGAACTCACTTCATATATGTTATGGCACAGAAATGGGTCATTCAGTCCAACAACCATGTTTCTCCCAATCTAATCCCACTCACCCGCTCCCCATCCCAACCCCTAATCTAATTATTTTTAAAATAGCTGACAGACTCCATCTATTCAGAGTGTTGTGTCCAATTCTGGTCTCCACACAATAAGAAGGATATAGCAGCGATGGAAAGTGTACAGCTAGGAGGATGACACCAGGGCTGGCAGGTTACAGCTATCAGGATAGACTGGATAGGTTAAGCCTTTTTTCACTGGAGAAGAGATGTTTTAGGGGGGAACCTAATAGAACTGTTTAAAATTACAAAAGGGTAAACACAAATCAGTTGTTTCCACTGGTTGGGGAGTCTGTCACCAGGGGACACAAATAACAAATATAAGACAGCAATGATGGGATCTCAAAGAATTTAGGAGAAACCTATTTCACCCAGAGGGTAGTGAGATTGTGGAACTTGCTGCCTGAAGTGATGGCTGAATCAGAGAGTGTAGATGCATTCAAGAGGAAGCTAGACTTTGAGGGAGTGGGGAGTAGAGCATGTGAGAGGGAGCAAGAAATGGGTGAAGACTTGTGTGGAGTATAAACACCGCACAGACTGGTTGGCCCGAGTGGCCTGTTTCCACGCTGTAGTCTTTGTAAACCAAGGTTTGTGGCAGAGAATTCCACATTCCCAGCACCCGCTGTATAAAGATATTGCTTTATAACGTCCCCTTTAATTTCATTTTATGATGGTCTTGAATTTGTGCTCCCTGGTGTCTGATTTTTTTTTTACTCAGCCGGGTGTCTGACACATGTGGAAACCCATCACGATGCTTAAGAGTCTCTAAACCAAACTGACATTTCCATGTAACCCACCTACACGTGGAAAGCCCAGAGGTAAATTGTTGGAATGGAATGTGCTCTCTCTCCCTGGAGGGACACATCCTGTTTACCTAATTCCAGAGAGTATTAGGCACAGGTTGACAAGAGCCAAGGCTTGAGGACCCCAGAGTGTGTGTTGGGGTAACTGGCCCCTGGTGACTGACCCATCAACCAGTGGAAATAATCCCCCACTCCCCCAGCTAAACCCGACGTGACCTTGAAGGTCAGGTCCTCGGAAATGAACATGAGGACACAGGCCTCGTTACCTGCTGCTGATCCACGAGATTTATTCTGTGGCACAAAACCCTCCTCAGGTGCCTGATCTCCGCTCGCACTGAACACCGCACGTATTTCTGCTGTGGGGATTGAATCATATAAAAACCGTTCAGCCAAGTTAAATCAGCTCTAATAATAATAATCCTTACATTTGATATAGCTCCTTATCACATCGTTGAGACATCTCAAAGCGCTTCACAGAGATACCTTGTAAAGAGTACTGTCAATCTTGTGGGCGAAATACTGCAGCCAACTGCACACAGCAGTATCCCGTGGACAGTTGAGGATTGAGTGATCACTTTTTTTAAAAAAAAGGGATTATTACCCCCAGAAAAGCAATCCACCAATCGACTAACAACCAGGTTTCTTCTTGCTGCTAGGTGAACAGAGGCGTGTGGAGTAAGGAAACTTGCCTAAGGTTTCACCCCGCCCGGGAATCAAACCCTGGCATTCTCGCTTGCGAGCCGAATGCGCTAACCACTACACTGCTGGACTCAACACAACACCTATAGCCAGTTAGTTCACGCACACGTTCACACACATACACACACAGCCTCCTTCCCCCTTCTCGCCCCTCACCACCCACCCCACACACACACACTCTCTTGAGAAGCAAGCCAGGCTTTGAAACCTGTCAAAAAGCACAAACAGCAAATTTAAGTCGATACAATTAAACATGTAGTGGTGATCTCCCATGGCTCATGGTGTCAACTTCACCCAGTCAATAGAACTCTAGCCTCCGGGTCATGAAGCCCCCACATCGGGGGCTTAAGCTTCACAGTCTAAGCTGTCACTCCAGTGTTGTGCAGTGGGGGGGGGGGGGGGGGGAGGGTGGAGAGGAAAGAGAGGTGAAAGAGCGCTGCATCGTCTGAGATGTCCTTCTGATAACATGATAAATTGAGGTTATCCCCGTCGGTATCTGGTCAGGTGGATGTTAAAGACTTCCATCATGACCAATGGGAGAGAGAAGGGAGTTCCTCCCAGTGTCCTGGCTGACAACCCACCAGATTCTGGCCAGAGTAACTCACAACATGCCGTTACACCGGGAGTAACTCACATCTCTCTGTTCACTTCTCTCTATTTATGGGATGTTGCTGTGTGAAAAACAGCTGCTGCGGTGCCTAACAAAATAAAATCACCGCATTTGACAACGAGTGCTTGTGAAGTGCTGAGAGACAATTTGATATTATCAAAGGAGAGGATTTTTATTCATTTCTCCCTTTAAAATTTTTTTGGGGGTGGCGAGACTGTCATCCTCCCACATGAAGGAAGGTTTTGGGTTAAGGCATCAGAGTTTCTGCAGTGATTGAGACATCGGCATTCCACACAGTGCATGACTCCCGGCTAATCCCACAGTGTTATTTACTGCACGCTCTCCCACTTGGGTGGGGGTGGGGGTTGGTGAGGGGAGAAAGCTTGACAGGCGTGGAAATAATTGAATTTACTCCCAATGATCTGAGATCACAGAGGGGAATAGGAATGAAAGAAAATAAATCAATAAAACCCATCTGTTGGCGTACGTGGACGTGAAATGATTCCTGACCCCGGAGCCCTGCATTAACCGCTCGGCTTGTATCTATTTCGAGTTAAATATGTTTTAGAATTTACTGGAGAATTTGGTCACTACAATGATTCAACTAACAGCTCCCGCACTCTCCCCTCACCCCCACCCCCACCAAACAATGAGCTGGGATCTGTGACTAACGCAAAGAAGAGCACCAGCACAGCCACTCAGCACAGTAACAGCAACAAATTATTACATTTGTATATCAGCTTTCACATGGGGAGGATGCCCCAAGGCATTGGACAGTCAAGGATTTGGACCCGAGCAGGGGGTTGAGATCAGGAGGGGTGGAGGCGAGGGAGGATGGGAGTAGGTGAGTGACTGAAGGCACGAACGAAGAGGAGGGTCTTGAGACAGGCCTTGAAGGATGCAAGGGAGCGAGCGAGGCGAAGGGAACGCGGGATTGAGCTCCAGAGGGTGGAGGCAGAGAGGCTGAAGGTCTGATTACTGATGATGGAGCAGGCAGGGCAGGCGGAGGACATGGAGCAAGCCAGAACCCACTGAGCTGAGGTCATTATGGGGTTAGCAGGTCACAGAGGTAGGGAGGAGCAAGACCATGGAAGGCTTTGAAAGCATGGACGAGAAATTTGAACTGAGGGATGTGGAGCCAGGAGAAAGTAAGCACTTACTCCCTCCACTTAGCCTGCTTCACAGCCCCATATCCTATCCACTTCACCAAGCTTTCGGCCATTCTGCTCCCCTCCCCCATCTAGATTTCCATCTTGGAGGCTCTCTGCCTCTTCCTCCTCACCTTTAAAGCCCGCCTCAACAAGATCTATCTAAGGCTAACTTTGGGCTCCCTATCAAGCTGTGTGAAGCACTTTGACATGAAAGATCATGTTTGATTTGACTAAGGCTTGACATTTGCTTCCCCCACCACCCTGTGGAGCTGAGAAGGTTAACAGGGGGAAGGAGGTGGAACAGGAAGAGGCCATTCAGCCCATAGAGCCTGTTCCACCCGTTTATTAGGATCACAGCAAACCTTTTAATCCCATTTTTCTGCCACCCCTCCCCCATTATCAACAACAACAACTTGCATTTATATAGCGCCCTTCACGCAGGGTAGCATCCAAGATCGCTTACCCCATATTTGAAATATATATTATATACATATGCCATTTCAAATGCAAGGATTATTATATATTATTTCTCAAGAATCCTTCCATCTTTTAAACATCTCAATCAATTCGGCCTCTACAACCCCTGGGGTCTGTGTGTTCCACGTTCAGACAACCCTCTGTGAAGAAAACTGTTTTGGAGATCTGATACATAGCGTCATGAGGAGCTGAAATATTGATGGGTTATTCCCACTGCTTAGTCAGTCAGTCAGTCGGTCACAAAAGGCACAAGTTTAAGATTGTCACAAAAAGGGGATTAAGGCACTGCATTGGGAGGGCCATCTTGGACTGGGAATTTAAGAGCTGGCACACCCTGGACCCTGGGGAAGAGAGGCCACCCCCGAGTTGACGTGTGGGTGGCTTGCAGTCTTGGGCTGTCATTGGAATTCCTGCAGTGTGGTCACAGCCAGTGTCCCTGTCCTGCACACAAACAGCTTGTTACTTTCCCCTTTCAATTCCCCCAATTCCACCCCCACCCCACACACTCTTGCAACTCTGTATCTCAATCAATGGGCAAAAATCCTCACCTGTAGGAGTAGCTTCCCTTTCTCTTTCCCAAGCGAGGAACTGCAAGGCAGAGGGAGAATATTAACAATAACTCTTGCGTTTGACATTGTGCCTATGACGTTAAAATTACGCCTGGTGTTGTGCAAGCAATCGCTATCAAGGGTGGTAATGTTTATTGTTAGCCAAACACAGCAGGTATTCTGCACACAGCAACGTGCCGCAAACAGCCATGAGGCGAACTGGTTTATTGGTCAGCTGAGTGTCTGACACACATGGAAACTCATCCCCGTAATTTAGAGTAAACCAGAATTTCACACGTTTACCACCTACACGTGGAAATTATTAAAGCAAGAAAAATTCACACAATCCATGACTGTTGTGAAATTGGCTGGCCCATTTCACCCAAAATACACAATCAATCTACTTTACAATATATTCTGTGAAGCGCTTTGAGGCGCTATATGAAATCCAAAGATTATTAATATAATTTCCTGGTGTTAGGAATGGAATGCGCACTCTCACCCTGGCGGGACGCACCCTGCTTATCCAATTCTGGACAGTATTAGGTGCAGATTGCCCAGAGCCAAGAATTGGAGGACCCCAGAGTGTACGTTGGGGTCACTGCTGGAGTCTAACCATCTAAAACGTGGAGTCCTGTAGCTCAGTGGTTAGAGCACTCGCTTTGCAAGCGAGAGACCTGAGTTCAATTCCAGGCAGGGCGAAACCTTGGGCAAGTTTCCTTACTCCACACACCTGATAATAATCCCTCCAAAACCAAAACAATAATTAATTGGTCATTTTCAATCTACGACTGTTTGTGGGACATTGCTGTGCGCAATTGGCTGCCGCGTTCGCCCACAAATATACAGTCAATTCACTTTACAGTATATTCTGTGAAGCGCTTTGGGACGTCCTCCCGACGTGAAAAGCGCTATATCAAATGCAAGGATTATTATTATTATTAAAACCACATAGCTTGCCATTGAGAGTGCTGTATGGCAAGCTTTCCCACTAGTTGTCCAGCTAGGACCACCAGACCCATTAAAGCTTTGGTTTGCAGGTTAAAAGGAATCTTGGGAGCATATCTCACCCCGAAGGATAGTACCTCCAATAATGCAAGTATAACAGTACGTCTTGCATTTGACAGAGAACCCTTCACGTTGGGAGGATGTCTCAAAGTGCTTCACAGAATACACTGCAAAGTGTAGTGACCACAAACTCTGCCTCTGGACATGGAAGCCAACTTGCGCACAGCAATGTTCCACAAACAGCCACGGAGTGGGTGACCAATTTTATTCGGGGGATTGTTATCCAGGACCCTGGGAGAGAGAAACTCCCTTCTTTATTCAAATAGTGCAATGAGATCTTTGAAGCCCACCTGAACAAGCACTTGGACCCCAGTTTAACGTCTCATCCAACAATGCAAAGCAACGCCAAGGATTGTATTGGAGTGTCAGCCTAGATTATACAAGTTCTAAGCTCTGGAGATTGAAAGTCCAACCTTTTGACTTAGAGGCAAGAGTACGACCAACTAAGGCCGGCTGACACACAGTTTCCACTTCAGATCTCCACTTGAAGATCACGGAAGTTGCGTCAAATGGATAATCTAAAAATAATCCTTATATTTGATACAGCGCCTTCTCATGTTGTCAAGACGTCTCAAAGCGCTTCACAGAATATATTGTACAGTGAATTGACTAGATTTTGTGGGCGAAACATGGCAACCAGTTGCGCACAGCAGTGTCCCACAAACAGACGTGGATTGAGTGATCCCGTTCTGAATATGCTTCCGTGCAAACAAGCGGTTATAACACAAATTCTCTGAGACAAACTCCAAGCACGTCCTCGCGATCAGACCGCGGTGACCCTCCAATTGTTTTTTTTTCTGCTGCAAAAAAAAAAACTTTCGCCTGCATGAAGCACTTCTTACCAGCAGCAAATCTCCAACAGGATGCCAGGCAGAACCAGGTTATAGGATTCCATACATACAACACAGCTCACATCAATTCCCATTACTTCCTATGGAAGTGTTAACCCGATATTGCTGATGAGATTTGGTGCGGAGTATTCCCTTACCCCCTACTCTTACTAATCCCTCATACTTGGCTGCTTCTTTGTCAACAAAGAAACAGGAGGAAGCCATTCAGCCCGTAAACCTGTTCCACCAATTTATTAGATCGTGGCAGATCTTTTAATCCTATTTCCCTGCTTTTTCTCACATCCCTTAAACTCACTTCTCAAACACTTATCTTCTTTTTAATTCATTCTGCCTTTACTGCCTTGTGGATAGAGCACTTGCCTCACAAGCGAGAGGACCAGAGTTCGATTCCCAGGCAGGGCGAAACCTTAGGCAAGTTACAGTGTTAGTTGTTTGGTGGATCGCTTTCTGCGGATAATAATCACTCAAAAAAAAATTGTCACTCAAACCATGACTGTTTGTGAGACACTGCTGTGTGCCATTCGCTGCTGCGTTTCGCCCACAAAATATAATCAATCCACTTTACAATATATTCTATGAAGTGCTTTGAGACATCTCAATGGCGTGATAAGGCACTATATCAAATGCAAGGATTATTATTGTGGGGTCAGTGGGCTCTTCATCCTCACCTATGTGAAAAAATAGTCTGATCTCACTTCTAATCTTTAGAGAAGGCTTGGAAAGAAGTGGAGACCCACTGTGACCCTAAATGCCCTAGCATTCCAGACGCTCAGCAAATTATGAGTTTGCTGCACTTCCCCATCTTATCCCTTGAAGTCCTGTAGCTTACTGGTTAGAGCATACGCCTAGCACCCGAGAGGACCTGGTTCAATTTCCTGCTAGTGCAAAACCATAGTCAAGTTTTCTTACTCTCTACGCCTCTGTTTACCTAGCAGTAAGTAGGAACCCATTTATTAGTCGATTGACGGATTGCTTTCTGGGGGTAATAATCCCTTTTAAAAACAAATGTGGTCACTCAATCCACGATTGTTTGTGGGACGCTGCTGTGCGTAATTTGACTGCTGTGTTTCTCCCACAAAATACAGTCAATTCAATTTACAGTATATTCTATGAAGTGCTTTGAGATGTCTTGCAGACATGATAAGGAGCTATATCAAATGCAAGGATTATTAAGGATTATCGATATCCCACCCCATCATCGGGCGAGCTTTCAGCCATTTTGTTCTTTGCACTAAGGACCTCCATCCCAGATTCCCAACACTACCATCCCCTGTCCCCATCCCCACCTTCAAAATCTTTTCAACCACGGTTTCGCAGTCACATTACAATCTCTTTCTCTCCCCGCCCACACCCCCCACACAGCCGACTCCAGCTCCCAGTCAGCTGTACGGAGTGATTTGAGACACCTTCTGCACCCGGAGAGTGCTATACAAATGGAAAACCCATCGCCGGTAAAACTCGATCAACCCACTGCAATCCCTGCAAGTGAGTGGTTTCAGAAGTTTACGGCAGCTCTGTACAAGAGGCCGAGCGAGTGAACAGAGCGACAGATCCAAAACTAATTGCTTCAGAATTAGTATCGACCTCTCCATCCCTCCCTCCCCCTGAAATGCCTGGCAGCTGCTGTAAATCCAGCAGATTGAGTGATGAATCTGGACGCTGGACTAGTCAGTCAATAGGAATTTTCATTTCTCTCTCTGGTGTATTGATTGAACATGTTTCTCTCTACCTTCTGCACAGTACAATTCCAACCACCTTCTTGGCTCTCCTCCCTCTCCTTTCCACTATACTACCCCCCCACCTCCACACACCACCTCTGGGGACAATAAAAGTAATTGTCACACCGTGCCACAGCTCTCTCAATAACAGCGTAAGAGGGGTCACAGCTTCGCTCCGATCAAATACACACTGACTAAATTGCGCTGTGAACCTCTCTTCACCTTGTCCGTCACACTTGAAATTAACATTCGCCCAGCTGAGCCAAACCCTTTTTCAGATGTACAGGCTTGGCAGTGGGAGAGAGTTGTTTGCCCGTGCTGTATACACACCACAACTGCAGTGCTAGCAAACTGTCACATCTCCTGCCTTCTCTCACCCAGCCCCCCACCGGCACACTGCATCACAATACCTTACACTTATGTAGTGCCTTTTTATGTAGGATGTACATCTACAATATAATATTTGGTATATGGCCTTATCGTGTCGTTGAGACGTCCCCAAGACAGAATATATTGTAAAGGAAACTTGCCTAAGGTTTCGCTCTGCCCAGGAATCGAACCTGGGTCCTCTCACTTGCAAGGTGAGCGTGCTAACCAGGATGCTACAGGACTCCACAAACTACACCTCAAAGAGAATGCTGATCAGCAAGATTTTTGAAGGTAGGGAATTTGAGAGAAAGTTCCCGAGAGCAGAGCGATTGAAGCTCCATCAACAATGATGGGATGAGGAGAAATGAAGAATGAGTATAACAATCCTTACATTTGATACAGAGCATTTCACTTCAGGAGGACGTATCAAAGCACTTCACAGTGACTGTATTCGTAGGCAAAACATTGCAGCCAATTTGTGCACAGCAATGTCGCTGCAACCAGCCGTGAAGTGAACGATCAAACAACCAATAACAACAGCCTTTCATCTGGGAGCGTTTCACAAAGGGGTCAGATGCAGAGGAAGGGTGAGGTGACCATTGGTGGGGTAAAGGAGGTACATTTCTAAGGCAGGATTTCAAGACAGGTGGAGAGGCTCTTATGACTTCCTATAGCTATGTGTGTGTATGTGCACGTGTGCCTTCGGTCATCTTCCCCCCAATCCAACCTCCAGCTCGGGTACAAACTTGACTGCCCAGCACCTCAAGATGTCGTTCTGACATGAAACACACTATATAAATACATTTTATTGAATGTATTCTACATATATAAAAAAAAACTAACCTCTCCCTTCATATTTTCTGATAATCTGGAATCTGATGCTCTCTGGTTACTGTCTGGCTGGCCAGTGGGAGATTCCTCCCCCAACATCTTTAAGTTTTGCTTTAACCGAAGAAAGAGACTCACCCGTGCCTTTCTAGACAGAGAGAGACCTGCTCGTCAAACCGGTAGTAGTGAGCTTTGGAGTGATCAAAAGTAGTGTAGGGTGAACTGGCGAGATCCGGCGTCAGAGCTGGGGGGAGTGAAGGGAAAATGGGTGGGATAAAAAAAGAATTGAAATTATGAATAATAATTGAACCATTAACACACTACATATACAATAACAACATATTACATTTGTATAACGCCTTTCACGTCAGGAGGACAGTTAGGGATTTGGACCTGAGCTGTGAGTTGGCATCAGGATGGGTGGGGGAAGGGTCTGTGAATGGAATCCCAGAGGATGAAGGCCTGACCGCAGATGATGGGGCAGGCCAGGCAGGTGACATGGAGCAGGCCGGAGCACGCTGAATGGAAGGAGTGGACGGGTTGATATGGCATTAGCAGTCACAGAGGTAGGAAGGGGTACGGCCATGGAGGGCTTCGCAGGCGAGGATTTTGAACTCTATCCTCTGGGGGATAGAGAGCCAGTGGAGCTGGGTGAGGATGGAGGTGATAGGATCATGGAGCCTGGTGTGGGAGAGGACATGAGCTGCAGAGTTCTGGATGATCTGAAGCTTGTGCAAGGAAGAATTGGGAAGGCCGACAAGCAGGGAGTTGGCATAGTTGAGTCTAGACGTAATAAGTGTGTGGATGAGGGTTTTGGCGGCCTGTGGTGTAAGACAGTGGTGGAGCTGGGTGATATTGCGGAGGTGGGGGAAGGCAGAGTGTATCATGACATGGATGTGTGGTAGAAAGGACAGTTGAGGGTCAAACAAGACACCAAGTTTCCGGACTGGCTCAGCGAGGTGGAGTGGGTATGGATATATTGGTCAGTTCATTCGCCAATTTGGGTGCGGTGGAGGGAGCAGAGAAACAGATTCCAAATTAAAGGGTAAAATTTAAGAATTCTGTATAATTCTGTACTTTTTGAAGTTATAAGACAAAACAGTTTCAGAGGCTAAGACTAATTTGGGGCTCCAAACTCTTGAGGGTCCACATTGAGGACTTGGTATTCAGGCTTTGCTTTGGTCAACCGGGTGACCGACACACACGGAAACCCATCACCGTGCTTAGGAGTATCCAAACCAGACACAGTTCTGCATATGTAAATTTTCCCTATGTCTGGAATGGAATGTGCACTCTCTCCCTTGAGGGACATATCCTGCTCACCCAATTCTGGAGTATTAGGCGCAAATTGATGAGAGCCAAGACTTGGCTACCTCAGTGTGCAGTGGGGTTCTGAAAGAGTCTAACCAGCTAAAACTGCAAAGCTTGTCATTGATATTGCACCCTGACAAGCTTTTCCACTGTTTGTCCAGCTAGGACCACCCTTACCGTTAGGGCCTTAGTTTGCAGGGTTATCAGAAGCTGAGTGACTGTCCCAGTGACTGGGCTGCCCTGCCAAGTCCTGTCAATAAGCCGGGCTGTGCCCTGGAATACTGCAGACCCACCAGGCTCAGGAACCTGACCAGAGACCATGACAGAGGGTGGACTCAATTCCGACATTCCAGTCACGTTGGAGCTAGTTCAGCCACCCAGTAATACCTCACCCGAAAGGAGGATAGTCACTGGTTGGTAAATTGCAATCCAGGCTGACACTCCAGTGCAAGGTGCTGAATGTTTTTCGCTCTGTTGTAGAGGAATCCATACAGAATTGTTATCAACATCTCTATTACTGCATCATGAAATAACCAGGATGGTTGAAGGTGGACTAGATGGCTTTATGTTCCTACACTGTATTGTGCTGCAGGTTTGCTGAATACTGACCAACTCCGATAACAGGAGGAAAGCTGAAGCTTTCATACCTTCATTTACTGGTTGGACGACTCTGTCCAGCCCCCGAGAATGATAAAACTCTCGAATCCGCTTCTCTTCACCTGTGAAAAGGAACACAATCCCCAGTTAAATCAAAAATTAATCCTTAGATTACACAGTGTAAACACCTCACCGTGCTTTCCACAATCAATTACTTCGAAGCGCAGTGACTTAATGTTACCAAAGCAGCACCTAAATCTGTCAGTCCTTCCCCCCCCTCTCCATTCCCACCGTCCACACACAATGAAACAATGCAACTAATCCCGTTTTTGCTGAGTTTGGAAGGATGCAAAGATTATTATTATTGTTGTCAAGATTGAGGCTAGTGTGATCAGTGCAAGTATTGGGTTCTCTACTGTAAGGTAGAACCAGAGGGTGCAGTACAGGAGCCTGTGATGTGCGGGCAGCGCGTGCGGTTGATATCGTTTGACTGTGACATGAGGCTGCTATGGGTTAGGCAGATGGACTTACTCTCCTGCAGGCCTGGGACGAGCTTGTAGACGATATCCTGCATCACCCTGTCCAGCTTCAGGTTGAGCAGGGGCTGTGTCTCGTGGATTTTGATGTTGCACATCGGACAGTATTTGCTGGTCTGCAGATACTTCACTATGCAGCTCTTACAGACTGCAATGGAACGAGAGATTCACTCACTCTCCTGAAATTTAACACTGTGATTTGTTTATTCTCCTTATTGGGGGGGGGGGGGAGAGAGGAGAGACTGAATGTAAGTTGCATATTAATACTACTGCAAGGTGCAGATTAATACTACCTTTTAACAGACATTTAGAAAATTATTTCAAAAACAGCAATTTATATATTTGTACAGTGAGCCTGAACGACACCTCAAAGCATTTTAAACAGCTGACCGGGATGCTGAAGAGGGTGACAACAACAACAAATTACATGTGTACAGTGTCTTTTATGTCGGGAGGACGTCCCAAGCCCCTTGGACAGTCAGATTTGGACCTGAGCAGGGGTTGGGATCAGGACGGGGGGAGGGCAGGGAAGGTGGGGGGTAGGAGGGTGACCAAAGGTGCAATCGAAGAGGAGGGTTAGAGATTGGGTTTGAAGGAGGCAAGGGAGGGGGGCGAGTCAAAGTGACTGGGACCAACAGCACAGTTGAAACTGAAGGTCTCAAGGCAGGCTTTAAAGGCAGGGACGGAGGGAGGCATAAAGGGAAAATAGGACGTTCTACTCCGGTCTAGATTTATTCTACTTTCTTAGCATTTCAGAGCGTGCAAAACTTGACAAATTCCTAAATTAAATTGGTCACACAATCCACGACTGCTTGTGGGACAATTGTGCATGAAATGGTTCTTGTGGTTCGCCCACAAAATACAGTCAATCCATTTTACAATATATTCTGTGAAGCACTTTGTCTTCAACAATGCGTGGATTTTTATTTTAATTATTATAAATAATCCCTGTTTTGATGCCGTTTTTCTGTAAGTTTCTTTTAAGAATGACTGAAAAACGGATGTTTTCTTTGCGTTTTTATCACCAATTCAGCTTAATCCAGCCATTCCCACATTTTAAATCCCAAGTCATTTTGAAAACTTTGACTGAACCCTTAACCATTTCTGGGGAAATGATACCATCTGGTGGGTGTTACTGGGAACTGAGTGTTACCATAGCCAAGATATGTGCATACTTCGTACAGTACTACAGTATCGCCTCCGTCAACAGTTCAATACAATAGATCAAATAAAACGTCTCAGTAGCAATGGGAGAGTCACAGATCCAGGTCATCTGGCTATCTTTCAGTTAGTGGGACAATGATAAATGTCAATAATATTGTATTTGATGTAGCGCCTACAATACTGAACAAAAATCTCGCAGAGCTTCACGTGTAGTGACAGTTTGCTTGCAGGCAAACACGACAGCTCATTTTCATACAGCAAGATCCATAAACAGCCTGATTAATTTATCCCCACAAGCGAAAGGACCCAGGTTCGATTCCCAGGCGGGACAAATCCTTCGGCAGTTTTCTTTACTCCATGCTCCACTATTTACCTTGCAGTAAGTAGGAACCCGGTTGTTAGCCAATTGGCAAATCGCTTTCCAAGGATAATAATTACTCAAAAAAAAATTTAAGTCACTCAATCCACAACTGTTTGTGGGACACTGCTGTGCGCAATTGTCTTGTCGCTTTTGCCCAGAAAATAAACAGTCAATCCACTTTACAATATATCCAGTGATGCCCTTTGACACATCTCAACAACGTGATAAGGTGCTATATTAAATGCAAGGATTATTATCATTATCCAGGGGGATTGCTGGCCAGGACAATGGGAGAACGCCCTTTTCTTTTCCACCATTGTCATGGCATTTTTTATGTCCACCCAAACAGACAGATGGGACATATTTTGGTGCGCAAAAGCGGCTGCTGCATTCACTCCAAAATGCACAGTAACTACACTTCACAGTAAAATCCTGTGAAGCAAGAGCTTTGAGATGCCTCAACGCCTTATTTGTATAGTTTGCAGGCCAGAGCCCAATGATTATACATCACCCTTGCAGCTCTGCCAGCATCATCCATTTCCAACACAAAATACAGAAGAGGGTAAAGTGCCAAATTGCATCAAGATTTCACAATGTATTTGCTTAGTTCTGAGCCATAACTACATCAGCGGCATTTACTGCAGGAGGCTTTCAAGGTTCGCGTATGGAGATGGCAGTAATTGATTTAGTGTGAATGTAGTTTGTAAACCATCTAGGGTACACTGGGGACATGCATTGTGAATTCTTCTGAACGCATGTAAAAATCAAAGTGCATTTTGATAACTGGGAGTGACAGAAACAGCGGGTGTGCACTCCAGTCCTCAGTGATAGAAGGAAAGTATCGTGGTTCACACAGCCAGGGGTGGGTCTGCTGAAACTACAGCCAAAGAAGCACACTTGCCAGAATCAGTGGGAAGCCAAGCGCCTGCAGAGCTCGACTCTGGTGCAGACACAATGTGCTGAACGGCTGACTCTTACACCACAAAAACTTTCTGTGTTTCTATGCAACACTTTGGTTTAAATTACAAGATGAATGACTGTTTGACTCCATTTACCTTCAAGGTAAAAGCCAGATGCACTTCAAAAGGAAGAAGAGGAAGGGAGGGAGAATGGCTCACACAAGCCGCCTTGTCTCACCTCTCAGCAGAACGTTGTGAGAGTATGGAGGAAAGCTATCTGCATTGCCCTGACAGCCATGCAATGGAGGAGGGAGGTGAAGGGTGGAAAGAGTAAAATAAAGGGACAATGTCAAAGGGGACACAATACAAACATGCAAATGGCCAATGAGATTGGGTGAACAGGATCCTTCAAAAGATAACAGCAGCAGTACCACAGGGGTTTGGGGAAAGAGCAGGAAGGTTGGATCAATTCCTGGCTGTCTGTGGGACATTTGCTTTGCACAAATTGGCTGTAGTGTTTACCTACAAAATACACAGCCACTACACTTTTCAGCAAATCCTGGAAGCGCTTTAAGACATCTTCCTAACACGAAAGACCACTGAATCTAATGTAAGAATTATTATTTAGTTATGGACGCAGAAATGGCAAGAGTTGACTGGCCTCTCAAGTCTAAATTGTTATTGTTAGATCGGAGGAGAGGATCAGAATGTCAGGAAAAACCTTTACACAAGAAGTAAATATTTGAAATGAACCATCAATCTTGGGGGTATATTTGATGCAGTTGAATCTACAAATGAGTGTTAACAATAACTTTTATGCAGCACCCTTTACGTAGAATACTGTCCGAGCAATTGACAGCGGCAAAGACAGAGGCCAAGTAGGCAGGAGGAGAGAGGGAGAGGGGGGGGAAGTGACCATCGGCAGAATCAAAGGGGTAGTTTTTAAGGTGGACTTAAAGACGGGGCGGGTGGGGCTGAAATGGACGGGTCGAGGGAGTGAGTTCCTGAGATCAAGGGCATAGAATCGGAAAGATGGTGGTAGGGCAGAGGATGCATTGCAAGGCTGAGTTACCAAAAGGCTGGTTCCAATTAATGAACTAGTGGGAAAGAGCTTTGTTGGTCGAATGGTCTATTCCTCAGTCATCTCTTTTACAAAGGTTAAAAAGCTGCTGGAACCTACATGTGTGTAAACACTCAGTGATGGTGGTGGCGTCAATGAAGTAGCCAGCACACAGGTAGCAGACGATATGTTCGTTCAGATCTTTGATCTTCACTTTCACTTCTTCCTGCAACGGTAAAGCACACACCAGTGAGTCATATGACTGAACATTGGGAGATTGCTGCATTATTGGTGAGGGAGGGAGAAATAAACAGCAGGGCTCGATAAGGTAAACTATCACCATTGGTCAGCGAGTTGAATACCTACAGGGCCTAAACCTAAGGTCATTACGCAAAAATAACAAATAATAATCCCAGCTTCTCTCACCTCTCCTGATAACTGAAGTCCCTCATTCCTGGTACCATCCTGGAAAATCTCCTTTGCACCCTCTCCAATGCCCTGACATCCTTCCTAAAGTGTAGTGCTCAGAACTGAACACAGTCTCTCGCTGAGGCCTAACCAGTGTTTTATATAAAGGTTCATCATAACTTCCTGACTTTTGTATTCTCTGCCCCTATTTATAAAGCTTAGTGTCCCGTATGCTTTTTTAACAGCTTTATCTCCCTGTCCTGCCACCTTCAAAGATTTACTGATATGAACCCCCAGGTCTCTCCGTTCCTTCACCCCCTTTAAGATTGTACCATCAGCTTATATTGCCTCTCCTCATTCTTCCTCTCAAAATGCATCACTTCGCATTTCTCCACATTAAACTTCATCTGCCACGTCTCTGCCCATTTTACCAGTCTGTCTATGTCCTCCTGCAGTCTGCTACTATCCTCCTCACTGTTTGCTACTTCTCCTAGCTTAGTATCATCGGCAAACTTGGAAATTGTACTCCCTACACCCAAGTCCAGGTCATTTACATAGATTAAAAACAGCAGTATTCCCAATACTGACCCCTGGGGGGACACCACTGCACACTTCCTGCAGTGAAAAACAACCATTCACCACCACTCTGCTTTCTGTCTCACAGCCAGTTCTGTATCCGCTGCCACTGTCCCTTTAATACCCTGGGCTTCTATTTTGTTTAAGTCTCTTATGTGGCACTTTATCAAATGTCTTTTGAAAATCCATATAAATGACATCAACTGCACTACCTTCATCCACCCTCTCCGTTACTTCATCAAAAAACTCTTATCAGGTTTGTTAAGACACGATTTGCCTTTAACAAATCCATGTTGGCTGTCCTTTATTAACTCATGTTTTTCTAAGTGAAAATGTATTTTGTCCCGGTTTATAGTCTAGAAGTTATTATTATTATTATTAGAAGTTTCCCCCCTACTGATGTTAGGCTGACTGACCTGTAGTTCCTGGGTTTATTCTTCTACCTCTTTTTGTACAGGGGAGTAACATTTGCAACCCTCCAGTCCTCTGGCACCATCCCGGTGTCCAAGGAGGGTTGAACGATTGTGGTCAGAGCTTCCATTATTTCCACCCTTCCCTCAGTAACCTAGGATGCATCCCGTCCGGACTGGGTGACTTATCTACCTTAAATACTGACAATCCTTCTACTATTGGAGTCCTGTAGCTCAGTGGTTAGAGCACTCGCCTTGCAAGCGAGACACCTGGGTTGAATTCCAGGCAGGGTGAAACCTTGGGCAAGTTTCCTAACCCACACGACTTATAATAATCCCTCCAAAACAAAACAATAATAAATTGGTCATTTTCAATCCATGACTGTTTGTGGGACATTGCTGTGCGCAATTGGCTGCCGCGTTTCGTCCACAAATACACAGTCAATTCACTTTACAGTCTATTCTGTGAAGCACTTTGAGACATCGAGAAGATGTGAAAAGCGCTATATCAAATGCAAGAATTATTATTACAGTACCTCCTCTCCGTTTATTCTCATTTTATACAATTTCTCTACCCTCTCCTCCAATACTGTAGCATTGGCTGCATCCTCTTTTGTGAAGACAGATGCAAAGACTCATTCAGTACGTCAGCCATGCCCTCTGCCTCCACGAGAAGGTTTCCTCTTTGGTCCCTAATTGGACCCACCCCTACCTTTGACTAAGTTTTTATTCTTGATACACTTATAAAATACCTTAGGGTTCCCTTTTATGTTACCTGCTAATCTTTTCTCATACAATATCTTTGCCCCTCTTATTTCCTTTTTCAGTTCTCCTCTGAACTTTCTATATTCTATTTGATTATCTTCTGTATTTTGGACCTGACATTTATCATAAGCCTCCTTTTTCTGATTTATTTTAATCCCAATTCCTTATTTATCCAGGGATTTTTGGATGCCCTACCTTTCCCCTTTGTGGGAATGCATTTGTTGTGTCTCCGAACTAGCTCCTCCTTGAAGGCTTGCCATCGCTCGTTAGTTGTTTTACCTACCAAGTTTTCTTTCCAGTCCACCTTGGCTTGGTCCCTCACTGAAATTAGCCCTCCTCCAGTTAAATATCTTCACCTTTGATAGTTCCTTGTCCCTTTCCATAAGTACTCTAAACCTAATGATGATGTGATCACTGTTGTCCAGATGCTCTCCTAATGAAACCTGCTCCACTTACCCCATTTCACTCCCCAGAATTAGATCCAGCACTGCCTCCTTCCTCGTTGGGCTGGAAACATACTGGTCCAGAAAGTTATCCTGCACAAATTTCAGGAATCCTTCCCCCTCACATTGTTATTTTGCCAGTCTGTTAGGATAATTGTCCCCCATTATCGCTACCCTATTGATTTTGCATCTTTCTGAAATCTGCTTGCAGATCTGCTTGTCTATCTCCTCCCCACTATTTTGTGGGCTATAGTATACACCTAACTGAGTAACAGCTTCTTTTCTGCTCCTTAGCTCTAACCAAACAGATTCTGTTTCGTGCCTTTCCAGGGCCGTAATTGTGTCTTTAATCAATATTGCCAACCCCCCTCCTTTTTTTTTCCTTCCCTATCCCTCCTGAATACACTGTAGCCAGAAATATTCAGTTCCCATTCCTGCCCTTGTTTGAGCCAGGTCTCTGTTATTGCAACTGCATCATAACCCCACGTGGCAACTTGAGTTTGCAGCTCACCAATCTATTTATCACACTCCGTGCATTTATGCACATGCACTCCAAGACCGACTTAGTCTGTTCTGCATTTCTCCCCTGTCTAATCCCTCCTTTTTCTGGATTACTCCTTATTACATTGCTATTCGTCTCTCCCAGCCCTCTATGGAACTTGTTTGTCCTCTCTAATGCTGCATCCTGATTCCCTTCCCCCCTTCAAAATTAGTTTAAACCCTTCCCCACAGAACTGGTTAACCTCCCTGTGATGACATTGGTCTCAGCCCTATTCAGGTGCATCAGGTACAGGTCCCATCTGCCCAGAACTGGTCCCAATGACCCAGGAACCTGAAGCCCTACTTTACGTACCAATTCTCCAGCCATGCATTCATGTGTTTCATCCTGCTGTTTTGATACTCACTTGTACAAGGCACTGGGGGTAATACAGAGATCACCACCTTTGAGGTCCTACTCTTCAGCCTTTTCCCTAACTTCTGACACTCTCCCTTTAGGAAATCAGCCCTTTTTTTCCCTACATCATGGATCCCAACATGGACCACAACTTCTCGATGTTCCCCTTCCCCCTGTAGAGTGTTTTGCACCCATTCTGTGATGTCTTCAACCCTGGCACCAGGGAGGCAACATATCATGCGAGAGTCACATTTTGGTTGTGAACTGCCTGTCTACTCCTTTCACCATTGTGTCCCCAATGACAATTTGCACTGACACTCTTTCCTGTGTCCCCCTGTGCATCCATTTGCTTCTGACTCCCCTCCCAAGAGGTGTCATCACCCCGACTGGTATTCAGTGCAGAGAACCGGTTTGTGAGTGCCACACTCTCAGGGGATTTCTGCACTGCCCGTCCCCTCTTCCTACCATGCCTTCTGTGGCTGTGGGGTGACCACCTCCTGACACATTCAATCAAGCTCGAGCAGCCGGAGGCACTTCCTGCATATGTCTGTCCAGGGCACACAAAGCATCCTGGAGTTTCCACATAGCACACATCGTGCATGCAACCTGTTTCAGCTGCCCCGCCATATTCCCAGACATGTTTTATGTTATTATAACATACCTTATATACTTTATAATTATGCACCTCTTTCCCCCTCTGCACCTAATTCCCACTCTCACCAAATTCCTTAACAGAATTCTCACTCTGTTCCACCTCACTCAGTTCCCTCCTCAGGCTCTTTGCTCATTTGTACATCATGTGAAACGCTTTATGCCATCTCAAAAACCTGATAAGATGCTATACTAAATGCTAAGTATTATTATCACTGACACCTCCTGACAGACAGATGGACAGGTTTGTCTGCCGCCTCACAAGTTAAATGCCGTGCAGTCCTCTCTGCGCATGCCCAGTACCAATCAGGCGCCCCAACCACGGCTTATGCCGATTGTCGTGGGCACACTTCTACGCATGCTCAGTGCCATACAGCCACTCAAGTCCGCGCATGCGTATCCGCGAAGCGTGCAAGTGCGCACTCCCAGTGCCGTACAGGTAAGAGAGAAGATGGCCGGTCGCCAACCAGCGGCGTAAGTCAGTCACATCGACACCGCGAGTTTCCCCAACCGGCCGCGGCTCCAGCCCCCTCGCCACCACATCCTCTTCACCCCCCTCCCCATTGCCCGCGTCCCTCCTTCCCGGTGACTCGTGCTCACCTCGTTGCGCAGCGGGTCCAGTTTGTACACCGACTGCAGCTGATTGCGGAGCCGCATAGCGTTCGCCATCTTGTCGGCGTCAATTCGTGCGCGCTGCGTCATCACGTCGCCGCCGTGGCCGGGAGGGCTGGGGGAAGGTGCCCCAGTCTGGGCACTGAGCCAAGTGGTCAGATTGGGTGGGTTTGGGTGGAGTTGTGGGCGACAGTTATTGGATTGTTTAACAAAATAATTATTATCACCAATCGACTAACACATTGTATATTAAAAATGATATCATTTTTCAAATTGCTTTGGGCAGGAGTCTAATTCGAAAAAAAAATGTAAACCCCCGCAAAACTTTTTCCCATTCAAAGGCTGTTTGCCTTCAAGGACTTGGAAAAGAAATGGCAAAAGAGGTCACGGGGAAAGCAAAAGAGACTGCGAGTGTAGCAACTGAGATGGATGGCAAAGTATCTGGCATCCAAAGCCGCTCCGAAAAAGTCTATAAACAGTTTATGAATAATAATAAAAATACTTGCATGAGACATCTCAAAGTTTGTTTGAGATGGAGGAAAATAATACAGGGGACATTTTTAATCTGTCTTGCACTCGATATAACTTTTTATTTTATTCCACGCTCATGTGTCTGCAATTTTGCGTGCTCTATAAACCCACTCTCAACTTTTCATTTCAAGGTTTACAGAACATCCTCCCTGAACGAATTAAGTGTTCTGAAAGGCGAAAAGTCTTTACTTGAGATGAATCCACTGGTTGCAAAGATCTTTGAAAGGACATCCTAAAGATTTCAGTATGATTTCACCTCCCCACCCATGTCAGGTTTGATTCTTGACAAGGACAGTGAAGTGCACCCACAATGTGCTAGTCCTTCTCTATGGCTCTACAAGTCTCTAACCTATCCCTAACAGATCAGTGAATATAAACAGTCTGTTTACAGTCATGTTAAAGGATATATCAAAACCCTGTAACCCTGTGCACGTGCCAGGATCACATGTCCCGTTCACTTCTGTGTTGGAGCTCTGATAATCAAATTGTGAATATAATGGTTTCTACTGTATAATAAAAACAATGAAAACTTTTTTCTACATCAATGTTGTCAAAACTCTTTATACATAATTACTGTTGAGTTTTGTTTTGCACAAACAAGGTTAGCATTTTGATTTGATGCCTGGTCTGAAGGACTCGCCCAACAATGCAGCACTCTCTCTCAGAACACCCACGAGTGTGGCCCTGGACTGTGAGCTCAAGTCCTGATACAGAGACTTTAAACCCACAACCTTCTCACACACGAGAGTGCTAACAGCCAAGCTGACACATAATTGTCACCCATATGTATGTGCAATAACAACAACAAATTACATTTGTATAGTGCCTTTCACATCGGAAGGACATCCAAGGTGCTGGACAGTCAAGGATTTGCACCAAGCTGGGAGTTGGGATCAGGAGAGGTAGAGGGCAGGTAAGGTGGGAATAGGGTGACCGAACATATGGTCGAAGAGGAGGGTCTTGAGATGGCATTGAAGGAAGCAAGGGAGGGGGCGAGGCGGAGGGACTGGCATGGAGTTCCAAAGGATATGGACAGAGAGCCTGAAGGTCAGACCGCCGATAGTGGGGTGGGCTGGGCAGGTGACATGGAACAGGCCAGAGTCTGCTGAGTGGACAGGTCAGTATGGTGTTAGCAGGTCACAGAGGTAGGAAGGAGCAAAGCAGTGAAGAAGTTTGAAAGTGATTCTGTGTAACTAATAATAATGACAGCTTACATTTATATAGCACCCTTCATGCAGGGCAGTGTCTCAAGAGCCTTTAACAACCAAACACACAACAATAGCACTCTAAATCCCGGCTGATGTTCAAAGGGCCTTGGCCAGTGCTGATAACTCTGTTAGTGTGTTTGTCTGTTGTCAAGGAAAGATAGATAAATCTACTGCACCGTCTCTGTCTTCCCCCCCCCCCCAACCCAGACAATATGGCCAGTGCTGTGTATGGCCGAAAAAATAATAATAATTTGGTCACTCAATCCATGACTGTTTGTGGGACGCTGCTGTGCGCAATTGGCTGCAGCCTTTTGCCCACAAAGTTCACTTCAATTCAATTCACTTTACAGTGTATTCTGTGAAGCACTTTGAGACGTCGCGCAGACATGATAAGGTGCTATATATACCCGTCTCATACAGGGTATCTATCATTCTGAAAATTATTACTTGACCTTCAAAAGCATATACTGTGGAGTCCTGTAGCTCAGTGGTTAGAGCACTCGCTTTGCAAGTGAGAGACCTGAGTTCAATGCCAGGCAGAGGGCAAAACCTTGGGCAAGTTTCCTTACTCCACACAGAGCCTAATAATAATCCCTCCAAAACCAAAAACAATAATAAATTGGTCATTTTCAATCTACGACTGTTTGTGGGACATTGCTGTGCGCAATTGGCTGCCGCGTTCGCCCACAAATATACAGTCAATTCACTTTACAGTGTGTTCTGTGAAGCGCTTTGGGATGTCCTCCCGACGTGAAAAGCGCTATATCAAATGCAAGGATTATTATTATTATATCAAATGCAAGGATTATTATAAACAACAGAAATTTTCACCACTTTTTTCTATTCCACATCCCTTAATCATTTCACTGTTCAGGTTCTCATCCAGGTCCTCTTTGAAACCAAACCCCAAGAGCCTCTTATGGTTCACAACCCTCTTAGTGAAGCAATCCAGGGACTATGTCCTGTTGTCACTACTTTCCCAACTAAAGGGAACAGTTATTCCCCTATTTACCCTGTTATCGCCATCTCTGCTCCAGTGAAGAAAGCCCCAATTTAGCCATGGAGTTGGATTACTAAACAACACTTGAATGAGGTGCTAACCAACTTCAATCTTTTTGAAGATGCATGTTAATTATGTATATCTGCCTGTAATGTCATATCTGCCTGTTCAGGTGGACGTCAAAGATCCTACAACACTATTGGAAAAGAATGCAGGGGGCCTCTCCCAGTGTCCTGGCTAACAATCCAACAGATAAATCGGTCATTCACTTCATGCCTGTTAGTGGAGACCTTAGTATGGACTAACAAACTGTTGCATTTCTCCCCACTCCACTATCCGCTGCCTCTGCTCAGCTGGCACTGGCCTCCTGCTCATCCCTTGTCCCATCCGCTCCACCATCGGTGGCTGCGCGAACCCTATCATCTTCCTATTACAGATCAATCTTTTTTAAATCACTCCCTGCCTTCTGTGCTTCCTATAATTTTGTTCCAGCTGTACATTCCTCCTGTGTGTAAAGAAATTCTAGTGAAGAGACTGGAGCAAATTCACCAGCAATTTGGGATGGGGAGGGTGGGGTGTGGATAACATGGTATACTAGCCCCCACAATGCAACATTTAATGAACGAAAAATGAACTTGTGTAGACAGCACCAGTTTGCCTGCTTGTCTTTCTTTCCTTCCTTCATCTCTGGAACACCTTGCCTTAGTCCCTCCGTCTTGCCCCCCTTTGGCCCCTTTTTCAAATCACACCTGAAGACTTTGACCGTGCCTTCAGTCACCTCCTCCCTTTCTATCTCGGTATCAAAACAAGTGCTCTGAGACATTACCCCGCGTAAAGGATGCTACGTAAATGCAAGTTGATGTTTTGCCACATCATCTGCTCCCCTATCTCACACCGAATGCCACCAAAACTCTCAAATACCCCTTTGTTACACCCCCGCCCTCCCCGACTAGACTTTCAAAATGCACTCCGGTCAGTCTCTATAGTTCCACCGTCTATACGGAAGTTCCGGGTAATCTAGAACTCTGCAGCCAACTATCCCTGGGGAGCCTGTTGTAACCAGTGGGGACAAGTATAAGATAGTGAGTTGCCTGTTAGCCTGATGGGTTGACAAGTCTCTGAGTTTCAAATGAGCTCTTACTCTTATCTGGAGGCATTGACGGGTACAAAAATTGAGAAGATCTTTGACAGTTCTGTTCAATTCCATCACATATGGTTATACCACCACCTAGTGGGAAAATCCAGATCAGTCATTACAAGAGAATAAGGAATCACTGAACATGTTGGTGGGGTAGGTGCAACTGTTCGATGTTGGATTTTCTTTACACAATTATTTTTCATTAGGTGGTGAATCCTTGTTCTGACTTTGAAACATTCTGTGTTTATTGTATAATACTACTCTGGGTCAGAAGATTATGGGTTTGATCCCTATGACGTTGGAGTACTGTAGCGTGAAGAGGACCCAAGTTTAATTCCCCGGGCAGGGAGAAACCTTAGGCAAGTTTCCTTAATCCACACTCCTCTGTTTACCTAGCAGTAAGTTGGAATATGGTTGATAGTCAATTGGCAGATCCCTTTCTGGGGGTAATAATTCCTTTAAAAAAATGTGGTCACTCAATCCACGACTGTGGGACACTGCTGTGCGCAATTGGCTGCCGTGCTTTGCCCACAGAATACATAGTCACTCCACTTTACAATATATACTGTGAAGCCCTTTGAGATGTCTCAACAATATGATAAGATGCTAAAACAAATGCAAGAATTATTATTATCAATGTCCAGACTGACACTGGAGGGAGTTCAGCATTGTAGGTGAATCTAACATTCAGATGATCCATGCGAAACACTTTGAACGACCTCCCAATGTGAAAGGCACTGTACAAGTGTAAATTGTTATTGTTAAGATGCTGAAACTGGGGTCCTGTTTGTTACTGTTCAGGTCAATGTTAAAGGTCCCGCAACACTATCGGAAAAAAGAAGGTAGTTTCTCCCTGGTATTCTCCCGTGGAGTCCTGTAGCTCAGTGATTAGAGCACTCGCCTTGGTTCAATTCCAGGCAGGGTGAAACCTTGGGCAAGTTTCCTTACTCCACACGACTAATAATAATCCCTTCAAAAAAAGCAACAATAAATTGGTCATTTTCAATCCACGACTGTTTGTGGGACACTCACTGCTGTGCGCAATTGGCTGCTGTGTTTCGCCCACAACTATACAGTCAATTCACTTTACAGTCTATTCTGTGAAGCGCTTTGAGATGTCGAGAAGATGTGAAAAGCGCTATATCAAATGCAAGGATTATTATTATTATTATTTTATCCTGTCCGACAATCCTCC